CTAACCACTGCAAGACTTGCCATGCTCTATAAGATTACCCATGACCTAGTTGAAGTCCAACACGACCTCAAAACCCAATCCAGAACTCATCGTAGATCTCACCAGTTCTCCTACCACCGACCAAATGCAAAATCAAAATTCTACTGTACCAGCTTCTACCCACCTACCATACCACACTGGCATAGTCTACCGGAATCCATCGTTAACCTACCCAACTTGAACCAGTTCAAGAATGCCATGTCTGATTTCATTTAAAGGGAGGGGAATCCAAACATTATCCTCTAGCTGCACCGGCATCCCAAACTCCAACGGGATGCAGAATCTTCTCTTTTGGTGGAGCAACCTGATACAGATAGTGAGATCATGATGCTTATTGTCAAATGGACTTGTGTTAATGGAAACTAACCATTGTTATGAATGTTGATAACTTACAGCATCCATAACTTGATAAAATGTTCAAAGTTCTTGCTTGACTTGAGTGGTGCTCTCGGTGTTCTTGACTATGCATTGGCGACTTTAGATGACACACTCATCAGGAAAACAAATTTAGCGCGGGCGGGACTCTCGTAGCTCGTGCACGTGGGACCACGTGTCTTCAGGATCCGTAGCCTTGTGCAATACGTTGTTGTGTTACTGATACGCAAGAGTGCGCTCACAAGACGAACAGCGAGAACGCTAGTCTTGGCCCAAGACGTCAGTGATCGATAATTGTTTTATTTCTATTGAAGAGCGCCCTCGTACAACTAGTTTTTACTTACTCTCAGTGCGAGCTGGCGCACAGTCTAATTATGAGTCGTTGGGGGCGCACTATGGACGGTATCCGCTATCAAGCACTAACGTCTTGAAACCAAGACTATAGGAACGCACGGACCACAGCTTGCTGGCGTGGCTAGTTGTGGTTCGTGCGTTCCGTCTTGTGAGCACCCTCTCGCCTACCAACAAAACAACAATTGATCAAGAATACAGGATCTGTAGACTTCAATCGCCGGAGTAGGACTTACGTTACCCTTCCATAGCCTAGCCGTCATCCCTTCAGTCGGAACACACTACATAGTCTACACGATCAGATGGTCATCGCTCTCGGCCCGGCAGCTCGCATAACCCTTGTAAGGCGCCCTCGTTTGATATCCTTTATTGTACAAGGAGCGTCATACAACAACGCAAATCACGGTTTCTTCCTCATAAAATCAATCAATTAGGGCCTATGTGACGTATAAGTGCCTGGGTGCTCCTGAAGTGCCAAAGTCTCGCCCTCAACTCTTGCCGCCCATGCCATGCCATGAGCTTCTTTGGCCTGATGTGACAGATTCTAGTGGTCTCTGAGTCCCGCCGCCGCGGTCCGGCTCTGCCCTCACATGTTCAACCGACTATCAATTAACTTAGGCCCAGCTACACGTCATGCTACTGCCATGCCGAACTTAAATAATTTGATTTTTAAAAGTTCGGCACCAAACTAGCATGGTGTTTAGCACCAATTTAGCTAGGCAAATTTGCATTCGACATAACAAGCCCTTTAGCTTGACAGGGTATACCACGCTATCGGTGCAGCTGCCGTGCTATCCGCCCTGAGCAGATAGAAACACCCTTTATAGTTTGAAAGGAGCCAGCATTGGTTGGGAATACTCATTTTGTTGGTAGCAATGCGACCGTAACGCGTGATTTCATAGTTGCGAGTGAACCAGCGAAGTGCAGTTACAAGCAGAGCTAGAGGGATCTCCGTCGCTAGGGGAAAAATGCTCCCTCTCGAGGTCCTGCATGGGGCTCATTCCTCAGTCAGTTCAAACCAAAGATCGTATAGCGCCGAAGACGCAAGATGGATAACTCTGCCCAAAAGGTGTAATTATCATTTGCGCCATTTGAATAAGCGATACGCCTGCGTATAAGTTGCGTATAAGCGATACGCAACTTTGAATTAATGTGCATTGCGCAAGCGTATCGCTTGCTCAAATGGCGCCCATGTGATTACAACGTTTTACGTGTATTTACAGTGAAGTTCGCCATCTTGCGCCGCTACGCGGCACTGTACGATCTTTGGTTCAAACATTCTTCACTAGATATAGAACTCGACATCTTGAAATTAACTTGCAGGCCATGCTGGTAATTCAAAGACTAAGTCCAAAGAAATTAGAAGGTCGTGGAATGTAGCTTCTGGAAATTTTGTTGCAGTTTTCTTCTCGTATTCATAATGAATCTTGAAATTTAGAGTAGTTTAGGTCATGCTTCTTAAAATGTTAAATGATGTTCGATGACGAATTAGTCCAACGTTTATCTTTACGATCATATTGACAGTTCTGTAATTAGAATGTTAAAAAAATCGAAAACTTGACTTTTTTGGATACGAATGAACTTTGAAATTGAAAAGGGTGTATAAAAAGGCTCGGTCCAGATCTAACAAATTGAAAATGCAGCACTTAACGAAGTTTTCACTCAGAGTCATTTTTCTTGAATCGTAAGGAAAGCTTTTAGTATACTTGTACATGTATAGGCCAAATCGGACAAGAGAAATAAAGTGAGGTTTATACGTCTACCGATAATTTTAACAGCGGCGTTTGATGTTGAAAAAAATGGATTTTCTGTTTGCTAGAAAAATGAGAGAGTACGTATTTCCTACCTCAATGTATACTCGTCATGTTATCACACATTTATTCCCTACGGTGTGACAAAATGATCCAACATGGCTCTTTTCAACCAATAAGGGGGTATTTCTGCTCAAGGCAGATACATCTTGCCATTGTTACAGCAGCATTGAGACCTATGCCACTTTAATAGACTGTGCATATAATAAGAATCTTCAGCATTACTGCCGATACTGATGTTATTCATTATTCTTAGCGTTTATTTTCCCCTCCAGTTTACCACTTGCGATATCCAGAGCAAATGGAGAGTCTTGCAATCGATACCAACCGAAACAAAATGGAAAAGTATCGCCTGTGACGCTCCATTCGTGCAAAATAATGCTGTGGCGAAACAACTACGTAAGACTGATTACAGGACTTTGACTTGGCCATTCCAGTACATGGATACCATTGTCCTTGAACAACTGCTTTACTACCTTGGCTGTGTGCTACCTTGGGGTCGTTGTCCTGCTGGTATGTCCAATCACGTCTAACCTGGAGTTTCTCAGCAGACGCTAAGCCTTTCACATTGTTATCAAGGATCTTGATATAACCTTCCTTTTTCATAATGCCCTGTATCTTAGAAATAACCTCGTAGCATTATGTTGCCACCACGATGCTGTACGGTTGGGACTGTGTTCTTCGGCTTGTATGCTTCTCCTTGCTTCCTCCAGACGTAGGCAATATCCATGTGGCCAAACAACTCCATCTTTGTCTCATCAGACCACAGGACCGATGACCAAAAAGGTAGGATCTAGGTTCAGATGTGCTCTAGCAAATGCCAGATGAACCTCCTTATGTTTCTTCCTGACTTGTGGTGTCTTCAAGGCCTGTGTCCGTGGATACCTCCTTTGTGCAATACTTACTGGATGGTCGTGCCTGCCTTGTCAACATGGTCAAGGCCTTGGTTGTGATCCGTGGGTTGTTGTTGGCATCCCAGCAGATTGTTCTGGCAAGTCTAGGAGATATTTTGCACTTCCTGTCACGTCCATTGAGGTTTTTCACTGTATTGAACCTCTTATGCTTCCTGATGATACTTTGAATTGTTGCAACAGCATGAACAGGGGCCTCATAATGCTTGGAAATTGCCTTGTCGCCTTTGCCCTCTCTATGGGCATTCACGATACGCTGGTGTATATCTTCACTGAGTTCCTTCTTCTTGGCCATGAAGAGCAACTGAGAATGATCTGAAAACTTTTCTTCTTTTTATACTCTTTAGGGGAGATGACATTTCATCAGAATCTTGAACACAAAGTCATAAAACGAAGGTATTTATTCTATTGGAACATCTTGAAATAGCTTCATACCAAAGATTCTTGCAGTCATAGAAAGTGAAAATAAGCAGTATGATTGAAAGGACATTTTTTTCTTGGGATTTTATCTGGGGTATGAATAATTTTGACCAGGAGCAAAAACGTAACCCGGGTCGTATCTATTGTTATGCAAATGCAAGTTTAGCCAGCACACGTGGGTTTGTGTATTGCAACAAATAGACAAAAGATATAATGGAAGTACCAACATAATAGGTTTACAAATGAAGAATTTAGAGAAGTGTGTTATTTTCCAAATGGTAAGAATAATTTTGAGCACAACTGGACGTATATACACATGTATAACTACTGACATGATTTACGTTTAAGCCATATAAATGACTCTTTCAAATGGTTAAAGATAAGGTTGGCAGGTGTTTCCTTGCATCAGAATCTCGCACAAAGGTCAATAACAAGAAAATACTACCAAAGAGTGAAGCTAGGGTCATCCACGGAGATAGGAAAAACCTCTATGGGTCATCGTAGAGTGCAAACCACTGAACCTTTTAAAAACTAAATTGAAGTTACCAAAGCTAATATAATTTAGCCAAAACATGGTCAACACATTAATTAACAAATACTGTACAGTCAGTGTGATGGAATTGTATTTGTTTCTTTCCTCAATATGCCATGGTAGGTCACATAAAGCAGCATAATGTATACCATGTTTAATTTTCTATTAAGTAAAGTCAATATGGCCGTCTTTCTTCCGACAGTGATTTTGAGCATGCATTGAAACGTGGAATATCGAATCGTGTTTCATAAAGACGGCAGTGTTTCAATGCTTACTGTAGAAGGTTGCCATTTGTCAAGTCTTTCAAATCAGGAACGGAAGCCCAGTTGGAACAGACTCTGGACTACTGACATGACATGACATACAGGTAGGCTACATAAATGACTCTTTCAATTACTTAATGACCAGGTTGACAGGTGTTTCCTTGCGCCAGAATCGCTAAAATGTCAATAACAAGAACATCCAAAACACTAGCAAAGAGTGAAGCTAGGGTCATCGAAGAGAACAATAGAGGAACAAAGGCAATGGACAGACGGGCATTAGAAGAAAGACAAATGCACGTGGATTTAAGCCTAAATTGAGTCAGGATAGCTGACACAGTATTTTATTCATCTGTTCCAGCTAGTAAGCCAAAACATCACATTAACTCTTAACTACTTTGAAGCAAAACAATACAAGCAAAACTCTTATAGAAAAAGCACCATAGCATAAACTATTAAATAATAATCAAGATGAAGTACATCACTGCACACATAGGTTTAGCATTCACAATCTGCAGGATACCTTTAAGGTTATAGGATATTGTCTTTGGAGTGCACATATTCCGATAAAGTAGGAACCTAACGTGTTAAGCAACAGTTCTTTTCAAGTGGTGACCACTGCGTGCCTCACTAATGGGAGACTTTGAGATGCTTGTGGCAGCAGACATACCGGTCCTTTTTCAAGGTATTGCGCATGCTCAGAACCATGCACGCATGTTCAAAACAACGCGTGCATACTCAGAACTGGTAAAAAGGACCAGTATGTTTGTCGCCACCAAGCATCTCAAAGTCTCCCATTGAATTTCTTGGGCGGAGATCCTGGGGGAAGGAAGGATATAATCCAAACACTTTTTGACTGGAGGGATTACCAATATAATTGCCCCTCCACTTTTCAAGCCACTTATGTGCATCGGTAGCCTTCCCATAATTAAAGTGGGACCTTGGACCCAGTGCCCTGTCATGCTTCGAACAAGAATGACCTTTCAGAAATCATCCTCCAACATGTAACAAGAAATCTCTGCCCATAATTCAATCTTTCAACGGTCATCTTACTTTGAACTATTTTATCAATTTACACACATATCATAGTAATGGTTTGCAGTTTACTGCAAAACATTTCAGTATTTCCGTATTGAGGTGCAGACAACTCAAATGGGTAAAAAGAGCGCTTACAATAAATGCTCCCACCTTAGAAATGTTGTGAAAGGATGATGAAGACATTCAGTTTTAGAGGTAGGAGGAAACCTGTGGGAAAAATATTCTTTTGGAAAAAAATACACACATAACAGAAAACAATCCACTTGTAAACCATGAACTTTGAACCTGGGTCATGAAAGTGAACAAATATTTCACACAGTTAAGCTGATACTCTAAGAGCCTGTTTGTTTCACATGGATCTGGATCTCAACCAGTGATCCTAATGCTGGTTCCCACCATCCATTGGGTGTGATCTGGTGTTAGCAAACCAACTTTGCATCACTGATTGCGATCCGAAGCCGTGCCAAACAAACCGGCCATATGACAGTGAAAAAGTACCACTGTTTACATTCTGGCTTCTGTAAGTGCATCTACATGTACTTCAATTATTGTACTGTATATTTACAGTAGAAAAATATAACGCATGTTTTTCCTCCCTCAGTTCAAAGGATTGTGCATCAAATCACAGCATACTTCCTGATTAGAATACCAAGATCTGAAAATTAATTCAGGACACAAATACAGTGTTGTTTGCATACTCGAACGATTCCTTCTTCATCGCCACTTTCTCCAACAATAACAAAAAATAATTCTATCAGATACATATTACAGTAATGCTGATACAAAGTCTGTAACTCCAAGTCAGATATTAGTTTACTTGCAAAAGAAACTGCAGCATTGAGCACACTGTTTATGCACATCTGCCTTTGGTTCCAAATATGGACTAATTCTTTGCACTGTCAAAGGTCATTGAAAATGAATGAAGGTGTTAATTGTTTCCACGGTTGATAAGCACCAGACATGATGATGGTGGTATCAAAGTCTTCACACGACCCCAGCACTCTTGAGTGTTTCCTCCCGTTTTGCGTCTCTCTCTGCTACCATCCTGGTCAGCTCTTCCAGCATGTGTTGTAAGGGATCGGTAGGTTTGTGATAAACAATCTCTGCAGTAAGGTGCTGACAGAAAAAGAAAAACACAACAATACTTGCATTGAAAGAAGTTGGCTTTTTATCTGTTAAGATAGGGCACAGTACTTTTTAATTTGGTTGGGGGGATATCAAAGTCAGGTTTTATCCCTCCAAAATCTATGTTCTGATAAGTCTCAGCCATGGTCCATGCTCCAATAAAATCTGGTAGGCAAATTTAGTCTGAAAATTTAAGGGCTGTCAATATGGCTGCCTTGTTAAAAACTTTTTAAATGTTCAGTTGTCTAAATATGCTGAACAGTGGAGTTAGATTGTTTTGTTTGCATGCATTTCTGCAACAAGAAATCCATATTGGACCATCGAAAATGTTGTGTTTTACAAACAGTGGCAAGTTGAAAAGGTTCTCATGTTAATTTTGGGGTATTTTACCAAGGGGGACGGGTTTGAAAAGTAGGTTAACTTGGTGTTTATGACCCTGGAAAATCATGATGGTCCAACCAATCCAACATGGAATACTGGCATTTCACAATAGTACGCCTCCAAGAGTTTGTAACGCATTGACCAATCACAATGTGCGAAATCTGTCGACCCAATGCACGTTCGGAAAGGGTCAACAGATTTCGCACACTGTGATTGGTCAACACGTTGCGTACTGTTGGTGGCGCAAATCCTGTAATTTTTCTCAAGTACAGGTCTGATAAATATCAAAATTCTTGTGACCGAACAATACTTTCTTTCTGTTAACCCCTTAACTGCTTAATAATGAAGTAAGGTATTGCCAAATTTACCTGAAATATTTGCATAATGTTATGTTTCTCCATGTACTTGACTGAGCGTGAGTACGGATCTTGAAGCGGCGGCACGTACTTCAACTCGTCCTGATCTTCCTCCTTGTTCAGTTCTTCTAATCTGTCGATTTTCTGGCTCAACGTTTCATCCGCAGCATCACCTTCTGCGTCCTGTTTTTGTTCTACACAATCTTTTTCTACACTGAAACTTCCCTCTGTTAGCAACACTGGTTGTGACTGCATGTCGTCTGACTTTACATTAGTAACTTCAGTTTCTGTGGCGGCTGCCATGTTGCTTTAGCCCTGCGTAATAGAATGCGGTAAAGAGCACCCAATTCGGCTCCGGTGGTTTCCCTTGTTTTGTGATTACTATTCTCGTAAAAGGGTATCGGGCTTCTTTTACGCCCAGTTGGGCTATAATGATTGGCATAGCAACACTGATTGCGTCCAGCTAGCCAGGCAGGTGTGAAGTTCAATCGTCGGGCACGGAACAGACGGGGGCTAAATGGGGGGGGGGGGACTGTGGAAAGAGGTTCCAAATATTACTCAAAATTTGCTTGGACACATCGCACGTAACGGCAATAGCAATAACAGTTCATTTGCGATGTTTAGAAAAGGAAAAGGGGAGGATAGAGACGGCAAGTTTTAATCGCCCTGCTTGGGCCCGCTCCTGACAATGAACGATATTATTTATTTATTTTGCCATAAGGCCATCTTGACCCTCCAGTAACAAAATGTGCAGGTTATATTGCTGGAGTGTATGCTCCTCTTACCCATAACCAATTTCCATTCCTTTACACCTAATAAACACTTTTGGTCATTATTTTTTTTGTGTGAATAACTTTTTGAGAGTTAAAAATTTTGGGGTTTTCGAGGTATTTTGCAGTACAAATGAAAATTTATCAAAACCCCGTAAAATGTTCTCAATCTTGTCCAGTTAGAGCAAGTAGCCTATTCTCCGTGCGAAGTTAGCCCCTCACCGCTCAAAAGTCCTTCATTGTCTATCAATTATCTAAAAAAAAAAAAAAAAGACCAAAACACAGAGTGGAATAAAGTGCTACGGCTGTTGCCGTATTTTATTAATGATGTTTTAAGGACATCCTTACTTCTGTTTAAGTTCCTGAATGTCTGGGGGAACTAGGTGAGATACATCGTGGAATAAATCTCTTTCGGGACCGGGAACTGTGAATGAAATCCGTGTTTTATCTTGCAAATGGCATTTACAAAGACAAACTCAGAATGTCTCACACTTTGACGTTAAGAATGTATGACACCATGAAAGCTGCGTAATACGTTGGAATTTAAGAATGAAAATAAAGGTTTTCCCGATTAATTTCGTATTTCTTTAATTCAAAATTGCTTTAGAAAGTTTAATTCGGTCAAATAAGGGTAACTCGCCCCAATGTCAATTGCCAAATGTTGATTCCAACAGCTTTGAAATAGCATCACTAGATTTCACTTTCAGAACGTAGCATTGCTATACAAGAAAATGGCTTTTCCTGTGTATTACAATGCTATGTTCTCAAAGTGAAATCTAGTAATGTTATTTCAAAACTGGACTTTTTTCGACTATTTATAAATGTTTCCTTCCCCTTTCCCTCATTAAGTTAATATATACTCACCTCTCATAAAGGCCATAAGGATGACACCAAACTCTAATATCGCCCAACCCCAAATCATGCAGCATCCACAAAAAGGTTACCCCGCACTTTTGGGTTCCATAACTGCACCCAATCCACTTAAATCAGGTTATACCATAGAGGAAGGTCAACATTTTGTTGGCCAGTCTTAGCTAAATTGGTACCAAGTCTTTGAAAACTGATGTATTGGAATGAGAAGAATAAAATTACAAATTGGATAATGGAACAGTACTGTATCAAGATAAGAAAAGTTTATTAAGTGGGTCTAATATCAAGGATTTTTCTTCTCTCTATTTCCTGGACACAGCAATAATTTGTATTTGATTGCAAGCAAATCACTAGTATCGCTAGGGTATGACTAGCCTCGTTTGTCACGGTATGGCTAAGATGCAGGCAGTCATCGGACATTGTTGGAATGTTTTCTGTTATTCGTGCCGGAGTTGCAACTCCTTGCGTGTCCTTCCTCTATGGTTAAAAGCGACACCGCCCTCATTTTGTTTGTGGCTGAACAATTTGATTGAACGGCTGTTTTCTAATCGAATGAAGGAAAGGTTTCTAAGCTCAAATGTGAAAGCAGGGCACAAAAAGAAAGTCAGGTTTTATTCAGCAGTTGTAGGAGAAAATGATTGCTATTTTATCTGACTATTTATGATAATAAATCGATAAGTTGAGAACTGCTAATCTGTAGTTAATTGGAATAATGCATCAGCCGTAGGTAAAGAAGCGAACAACAGGCGTACTCCCGGAAGTAAACCACTGATCTCTATTATATTAAGGCTGCATCCAAATCTCTTGTCTAGAGCTAGGTCTAGGTCTTCGCTCCATTGGAAATGCGTGAAGACGCGTAGACGATAGACCTAGCCATAGCTCCGGAAGCCCGTTTCGGACGCGGCCTTATATTATTAGATAAGTGAAGTACATGTAAACCAGTGAAATTGACCGATCGCGCGGGCGCTGTATCGTTCACGAAATCGAAACTACGCGACGCCGAGAGAGAAAGTTCGACCGGACAGAATTCTAAACGATGGATGATGTTAAAATGTCTTCATCCGAAGGGAAAATCGACACGACTGACTCGAACTGCATGAGTTTATGAGTTTATGTTACGGCAATTATTTGTGGCGTGCTTTCGTTGAGACTTCGGGACAAAGAGTGCCAATTAACTGCTCTGCCCCTGCTGGTGATGATGGTGAGCGGTGATCGTTGGGCCATCTGGGAGTTGCACATACATGTACATGTACATGTCCGTGTTGTTACGTTGAAAACTTTCCCGAACTTCCAAGAACTTAGCCTACTGGTAGGTCTTCATCACGACAGCAAAACACCGATGTTGACTCCTCTCTGTTGCGTGACACAATAACACTCGTCCAGACTTATTTGCCGCAACAACGGAGAGTACTGCGAATGTGGACAGGCCAAAGTCCGAGACCGAATACGATCAACCACTTTGATCCAAGTAATCGTGACTGCATGCCTGTTACGCCCGTCCCTGTATGTTGTAATGTTTTACTTTCAACCATTGGAAATTATTAACAGGCTGGTTCCATAGTAAAAACATCACTTTGGATAGAATGTTTCTCTGTGCTGGGGATCAGTTGTATTTGTTGATTGCTTGCTGTTCATTGTCAAGGAAAATTCCCATGAATTTGATGTAACTTTACCGTTGTTTACTGTAACAACCTAACAAGTACATGTACCGTAACTAATTTGCCGTTTGGGTTATTTCTCTTACTCATTACTCATTCTGGAAGAAACCTATATTTACAGAATGTAAATGACAGATACAGTCATTATCAACATGCCACATCAAACTGCCCGGTGTGACATGTTTTTATTTTGTCGTGACATCCTCTGCCACTGCAGCATCATAAATGAAAACAATACCGAAGTTCAGAAATATCTGCTGCAAAGAGACAAAAACTACACCTTGAAAATCATGCAAACTTCTGGATATTGTTTTTCACATTAGTGTTGCAGATAATAGTGTACTGTATTGGCTAGTCAGTGTTTGCCCATTTCATGTTCTAGGCACTTCAACTTACTTGACCTGGTTGTCAGGACGGCAACTTTGCCCAAACTTGAGAGTGACTGGCCAGGAAGGACTCTTTGATTTAATATAGGAGAAAAGTATTCATGAAGACCATGGATATCATAGATGACTTGCTGTTATCCAAGGTGCAGCTGTGGGGGACACTCTGGAAGAAACCGTTTGGTCCGACTTCCAACTCAGGGAAATGGCAAAAAAGGTTGGTATAGTAATTGTTGGCACTATTTGTCAATCTTTATACATGTAATTATTGTGCTCTTGTACTGCACTCTTTGTCAATCCTTTGGATACATACAATTCGGGCTTTACTTCTTGATTTTTGAAACCATATGCCACGATTTGTCACCGTCACCACGAAGTGACGTTAATGTGGCTTTTGAGGAAAACAGGTGTTCGAGATAATCACCAGAGAAGTTTTTCATTCATAAAAACTACCAAAATAAGTATTTTGTGACTTCATGTAACAAAAGTGCCTTAAATGATTCTTTGATGTCTTTGATTGTTCACTTAACCCGAGTTATTAGTATGAAAACGGATTAATCAGCCAAAAATTAATTAGCAAAGGTTAACGTTACTTCGTGAAAGCGAAAATTACGTTTTTGTACATGAACATCCTTCTGTTCAATGCATTATAATCACAGGAAAGGTGATAATGTCTTTACGTGTGCACAACTGTGAATGTAACAAAGCTAACGTCGCTTCGTGAAAACTACTTTTCAGCCATTTCCTTGTGATACATTTTGTTCATGTTCAAAGGACGTTAAGCATTGTGTCTTCGTGGAAACGCAAAATGCTGTTTTCAATATGTTTGCCTTCGGCAACATTGATGTACCTACGACATTTATAATGTTTTGTGGGAGCATGTCAAAATGGTCAAGCACGATACCGTAACATTATCGTCACTTAGTGAAAACGTTGACAAATTGAGAAAATGTGCTCAATTTTTCGAAGCAAAAAGGTTGGCAGATCATACTGCAAGTTTGACGGATTGCACAGTGATCCTGCATCTACCAGTACATGTACATGTATCTTTAAGAACTATGTTCAGTCCCTCTGCTCCATAGGCCTTTTGCACAATGTACTATTTTGCACAATGTTCCATTCCAAAGTTGAGAGAACAATCCAGTAAATATAACTTAAGTTATTGAACAAATTTGTAGTAACACACGTTTGTATTCACAGTACTATTCATCGTCTTTCCTGCTAGCAAGTGTCATGACTGGTGTTGTTACACAGGAACTGGTATCTAACAAAACTAAGTTCACTCGTACTCCCTGCCCCTAACAGGATATGAGGAATTGCTAATGTCTTTGGGCTGGAAAACAAGAGTTGGGCCCTCACTTGATATATTTTGTGAGAAGAACAAGGACTTCATACAAGCCTGTCAAAATGTTAAAGTGCCCCAAATACCAAAAGGTTCAAAAAGAGTTAATTTTATGGGGATTTTAGTGAGGAAAGGGGATTTTTGTTCCTTTAAAAGGAAGCAGGTTTTAAAGTTGGAATTATCTTGGTGTTTATGAAAGTTAAAGTGTGATTATCCCATATGGAATTCTCTCCGACTTTGAAAGAATGATGTGGTCAGTACTTCCATGATCACATGATTAGCCCATACAGAATGGACGTGCATCGGTCAGGGGACATGTAATTACATGTAACTATCATAGAGGGTTGTATCAGCAGGGCCTAGCCAAGAACAGGTGCAGATGTCTGCTCTGTCTGCAGAAAGACATCAGCCTTTTCCAGCATGCTGAACATTGAAAGGCAGAATGGGGTACACTCTTGTGACATATTTTCATTGCTCATCTTTCTTAATCTTGTAAAATTTACCTGCCAAAGGCTAGAAATAATTTTGACAAGAAAGACAAGGTTCCTTTTGTTGATGGGACAAAAATATGAACATGTAGATACATGTACATTGTGTGTACATGTATGTAAAAACTGGCCTACGATTGTCATGCCATTTTGTTGTATAAACTAGATTCGTGTACGGTACATGTACATGTATGTACCGTACATGTACAAACAACCCTAAAACTCTGAAAATAATATGGGACATACAGATGTGTCTACAATATTGATTCCTTGTTTTTTTAAACCAAATCCTATATTAATCACAGTTCCCACTTGACTGTTTTATGCCTGTCATAAACCCTTTTACAACCAATGGCAAAGCTCCTCTAAGCATAAAAAATCTTCCCCATTAAAGTACTGTACAGCCACATTTATAACCCACTTAAAGTTTATGGCCTAAGGAGATAAATTTATTGCTGTATTAGAAATATACACTTAGATGTTTTGATCTTTGGGCTTTTGCCAGAATACATGTTTTTATCTTGTTGGCCACTTTGGATACATTTTATTTTTGTAATAAATGTGTAAAATATGATCAACTTGCACATTCAGATTAGAACCCCAAATTTTTAAATCCTGTTTCCTGGTATGGCTAAAAAAAGTGGTAAATTTTGAATCCCGTTAATTTTGTAAATGGGTAAATGTACTTAGATTTTGTTAAATTAATCCCAAGAGTCCTCAATCTCCCAGCAGATGAAGAAATGATGACTTTAAAGGGATAAATGTTGATCATAAATGAAGTGGTCACTCAGTGTTGGCCAGGATTAGATTTGGTTGTCAGATTATATGTTTATTCCAAAAGCTGTTAAGGAGTTGCACAACTACGTCTGTTATTTGTTTTATGTTCAATTCACTTTTGAAGAACCGCTTCAAAAGATGAATTTAGGCATTATCAACAACAAATAAGGTGCAAACTTAATAGCATTATCAATGATCCTGACCCTCTCTTTGAAGTACGTTCTTTTCCAAGAGCAAAAAAAACTTAGGTACATGTACATGTACTGTACATCGCTGGCGGGTACCGATACATGTCATGTAGGCTCCTTCCTTGCATCTTTATGCACATACCTGCAAGTGTGCAAGCTTTGACTTACCTGTCCCAATGAGATCCTACATGTACATGTACAAACTATTTAATATTTAATTCCTGTGTGTTTTGATTTCTGTGTAGATTTTTTGTCATCAAAGAAGGCTACTTGCTGTACTATGCAGAAAATGAAAAGAAAGACTTTGACAGGAAACGCTATTTCAACATGCACCCCAAGGTAGGCATATCCTGAAGGTGACTTAAATCAATATTCTTTTGGTGCCTTGGCTGGGAAAACTATTTGACCCCGACTAAAAAAATACACGTACAGAGACAAAAACAAACAAGGTAATACAGTTAAAATTAAAGATAATCACGAAGTTGAGGGCAAGCACTTTAATTAAGTGAAAATCAAAGGTTGGCCTTCTCAGTGAAGTACCGGTATTTGTAAAATCTATCAAAATGATGTGTGTGGGTCAGGGGTCACAAAAGCAAATCTCACCACTTTTGCTTGGAAGTGTGTGGATCCACACATACATGTAATATCAATATTTGGACATAAAAGACAGACAATAATAATAATAATAATAAACTTTTTTTATAGGCATATCACTTGGGAAGTCCCTATGCACTTATTATCCCTGCACATTGGGCTCACATTAACTGAACATTCCTGAAACCATCTCAGCTCCCGGAGGAGTATAATGAGCCATAACAAAAATTCCAGATGTGTGTAGCAGGGGAAACCACTAGGCATAGATCTGGAGATTAAACCTAAGTTAAACTTAAAAAGTGCTACAGTTGTGTGCTGGTCACAGAAGCCTGTCTTGAGAACGCCCCTCCCCCCAAAAAAGTGTAATGTACTACCCCAAAACTTTTGGTCCCCCGAATTAGTACTTGTATCAAACAGTGCATTTATGGACTTCTCAACCTCAGACGAACCATCATACAGTGTGCCTACATGTAAGTTACATGTGGAACATCCGCAATGTGCTGACATACAAAAAAGGATAGATAATAGTCATGAAGGCTTTATAACTCATTGACATAGAGGGTTTTCCTTTAGAGTTGCAAGTCCTTTCAAGCGAAAATATTTAAAAAATAAATAAAACTGGCAAAACATTTAATGTGATTTTTGGTTATAAATTGAGGGACCTCTGTTTCAACCACTTAAACTGAGATGTTGAAAAACACTGATGTGATTTTTTTTTTAGGATAAGGGATGAAGGATGGGGGAGGGGGGCTGACAGATGAATGGGTAGCAAAAAGGGTCGAAACCCAAAACCTTGCTCCTTTCGCAACGTTTCATTGGGCACACCTAGGAGTACATGTCTGTATGTCACTTTGTTGGTGTTTGGTGCAAGATTTCATTCTGTGTTCAGTTTTGGGCCACACAAATGCCACATGTGATCCCTACAGACCTACACATAGAGCAACTTTCTCAGAGTCTTTTGAGTTCAAAACAGGCCCTAAGTGTTTTCCCAGAGAAATGGTACGAAACTTTAGAGCTTAGAAATGTACAGAGTTGTGCATGGTTTCTTTATCAGAAGGTCAAATGTGGTGGGGCACCTGTCTCACTGAGTATTTTTTTGCATGCTGAAATAGATGTGGACACTCAATATGATACATGTACAAGGTCCAAATTGAAAGTCCAGGTTTTGAATGAATTAAGTGTACTTCTACGGTTGTACATGTTTCATGCACACAACTAGTGTATTTTATCTTTAGATAAATGGAGGAAAAGGTAAATTCATCAATTGTACTGTACCTTGTAGCTGACGTGTATTTCATGGTCCTGCTGGGTATTTTCTGTTAAAACTTTCTTCTGCACCATGGCGCCATTTTGTGTTCTCTCTCTTCATCTTTTTCCTTATTAGAATTAATGACCTTAAATGTTGGAATTTTTTGGTCAACTTTGCTCTGTTTGTAATTTGAAATCACAAGATACAGAGGTTGTGCCTTGCTGATTGCTCAGAGGCTGTTCGTTGTTTTTTTTAATATCGTTACAATGAACTCACAAAAGGTTTACTCAAGTGTATCCCAGAGAAAGAAAGAAATACCGTCTAACGGAACATCAAATGCATCGAGTCTATTGCCACTTTTTAATATCCGCTATCCATAATGATGAGTTCATCTTCATGAGAGTGATCTAAATACCTGGTACATGTACATGACTGTTGCATCATACATAGCACCAAAGTAGAAGTATGTTATTGGAATCTTCTCTTGAATTGCTTTCAATGGCCAGTGATGTCATGAGTAACATTTGGACAGTAATAATTACATGTAATTAGTCTGTTTCATATTACAAAGATTGAAAGGATTTACTCCAACCTTGTGTCTGAAATCTTCAAAATCAGATCCTGCTCATAAGGGCTTGAGTATTAATAAGTTCTACTACTGTTACACTTTTATCTTTCAAATATTGATAAATGTAGGAGGGTTTGTTCACGATTTTACAGGTGGCTGTATGCTATGTCCCGCAGGTAACAGAGGATTGTCCCAGAAGGATACTAATGAATTTCAGGGTTTTACATTCTAGTGTTGGACGCAGCTGGATGGGAAATGCCCGTAAGAATTGTCACATTACTGGTCTTTGTGATATTTATAAAGAAAACATGTTGGAAAACATGTATTGGATGAAAAAGAAACCTTTCAAATTGAAACACAAAAATTAATAGAATAAACTTTTAATTTCAACAGGTGTATTTCAAGAATTTCTAACATTGTACAATACCGGTACATTCATCAATGATTGGCATGTGGTACATGCTTACCGTACATGTACGTGCAGAATTCTTGAAATTCGTTTGAAGATAACATAACGTGTCAGCTAGATAATGAGTTCGTCATCTTTAACATTTTCACAATTTCAAGCCTTCTGCTGATGAAAGTGTCTAAAATAGCTGAAATCACCTGTCTTTCCACCTGCCACAAGGCAATTTTAACCCAAACTGGTTAGAGTGAACTTATATCAGGCACATGTAAATTTGTACTATGTAACTGCATTGGTACTGTACAAGTACAAAGTACATGATAAAAACTGTTTACTGAAAGAGATACCTGTCATGTTTATTGAAATCCAGGATATGAAGCCGTTTGTACCATCATACCATACATTATAGAGTGTACACTCTACATTTATTTTCAAAGACTCCCATTCTAATGTTTACATGTACCATATTCCTACCAACCTTTTCTTCTTGACACCTTTTGTTAAGAAATTACAATGTACATGCATTCATTTCTCAGTTGTTAGCTTTTCACGCAAGCAATGCACGCTGTCATAAAGTTTTGTTATTTTTGATACATTGTAGTGGTACGTGCATATGGATTCATGGAAAAGGGCTTTGTACATGTATGGTGCATACATGTGCATGTACATACGTGCTTTTTTCAAGATGTACCGTATTTTTGCGTTGGGGAGATGTTAATTTATATAACAGGTTTTGCCACTGCTGCTTCACCTGACTCGGACCGGCCAGCTGACCCCGGCAAGCTCGGTGGTCGAGTGGTTAGACATCTGCACTGGTAAGCAGGAGGTCGTGGGTTCGAGTCCCACCCAGAGTAAGCTTGTGAATTTTTTCACAAGCTCTCGGACAAGCGCTGAGCATACAGTGTTTATCCATATACATTGGGTAAGGGCAAAACCCTTATATAGATTACATACGTGCTGTTTCTCTTTCAACACAGTTTATCATAATCAGAATGACAACACTACAAATACATGTACTCCAGCCCAGTTGGTTATTTTACATCTGCATGTACTTAATCTCAAAATGTTTTTACCATAAATCAAGAGTTTATTTTTACCATTAATCAAGAATGTGTAATATGCATTTTATTATATGTACACGTATAAATGGCTACTGAGAAATCATGTTACTGAAACAATTGGGAGTCATAGTTAGAACCCACTTCAGTTTAAGAATGTACCTTCTGAAAAACATGCAAATATTATGCAAATTTGGTCAAGTCCTTTTCATCTTGGATATTATTGGAAATCTGTTTCCTGGACACTGTATGTTGTCTTATGTATAAGACTGGCTCAGGAGAATAAATGCTGATAATGCCGTTACCTGCGGCTTGGGCATTTGTCACATCCATTAAGACCGGCCAAACACATAGTAATTCCCTTGTTGATAACAAAACTGTATGTGCATTAAACGACTTGCTGGTTATTTTGACGGAGTAGTCAGCTAGTTCCAGTTTTGTACCACTACAGAAATGATTATTTCTTCACGCACGCATGCCAATTGTCAGGCAAAGGTCTGATTACACTTTATTTCAAATAAAATGCTGTTCTAATTTCAGGTCTTAAGAAGGTATATTTTAGCTTCTCTGACCTTATTTTCTTGCTCTGGATAAGACTTCCATTAGGGTGTGAGGGATGTACATGTACATGTAAATGACATCCAGATCATGGACCATTTTATCACTTTATGGAGTTACTGAGCTCAGAAGTTTGGTATACACATTGACAAACATGTTGTAAAATTGAGTATCAGCTCAAATATACCATGTATACTGTATCATGTATTGCTTGTAACAGTAAAAAGTTTTGCTTACCGTGTGTGAAATCTGCAAGCAATAACGTCCAACATACATGTACATAAAAGTATCAAAGCACCGCCATGAAATGGGAAAGATGCATGTTGGTTCTCACACCTCAAAACTCCTCCCCCACTCCTCCTTCAAAGCCCTAAAACTCTTAATCAAATCCCTTTTTGAGTAACCCTATTAGCCCTTATTCCACATGCCTCGGCCAAGAGAGCAAAGCCTTAAGCATGATTGTCCCTAGTGTAGATGTTATAAGGAAGCTGTCCTTAAAAAATATGTTGCTGATGGACGGTTGCATTTAATCCCGGAAGTCCTGAGTCAAACAGGGGGGTCGCTCATGTCACTCGAAGTATTCAGTGCCGTCAGCGGGTAAACCATGCTTTTAAAGAAACTGAAATACCCACTGAAAGGGAGCTTGTGTTGTGTAAATATGATTTCAAAGGCTTTAGAAGTTGTGTTATGTAAATCTGTTATATTCACAGTCACAGGATTACCATATGCGATTTTCCAGTTTCACACTTGACAGCTTGAGAGCCAATACAGATTGTTGTTGCAGATGTCAACTAAACCAGTTAGTTGAAATACAGTATATGTACATGTTCATGTACCAGTATGGCTGGTATTAGTCTTCTCCAGTTATATTTGTTCAGACAAGTTGAAGTATATGTATAGTGTACAGTACATTTACCATACAAGGAACCGTAGATACATGTACATGTATATATATATATATATATATAAACATGTACACCCATGTACATGTATGCGAAATTTCTTGTAATGTCTACATACTGTACACACATACATACATGTACATACATGTCTCATGTGGGAGTTTCAGTTGTACTATAGCTTTTCTTGGCCGAATTTGTCATCTTCAGTCAAATGCATTATTGTTCATTCGTATTCCAACGTATTCGTGTTGCGTCGAATAGTGTACTGTAACAAATTTAATTTAGAACTACATGTAACTTCACTCAATTGAACAGTGCATAACCGTCATTCGATTTCGCGCTGGGTGACTGGAATGAGAAATTCCTCCCGAATTCTATTTCCGTCTTTGCCCATGGGAAATCATGTTCGCATTTTGAGCTTTCAAATTGGTAAACTTCAAGTTGAGATACAGCAAATTAAGATGCGTATAGAACAGAAAGGGAGATTACAAAAAGAAAATGTGCAGGAAGTGTGTCCCACGTATGAACTTTTTCATTTGTTGTATATCTCAAACAAATTAGACATCAAGAATACAGGAAATTTGCTCCAATACTGATTGCCTGTTTAATCGAAATGTAGAAATTACTCTTCCTGGACCTTCATCATGGATACTGAAAGAAAAATCGTTTAGATGTAGTTTACTGATTTGTAAATTGTAATTTCTTTATGTTATATGCAAGAAACACACTCTCCATAAATGTGCATGTATGCTAAGATTTTATGGATTCTTTTAAACGATTGCTTGTTTTCTTTTTTGTCACAGTTTTAAAATAATGTTTTTGCTTGTATGTTTCATTCCATTTTTCTCATCCTTTTTTAGACATTTCGCCACTTTGTCCATTTGTGTGATATAAATTCTTTTACTTTGCATTTTATAGAGGTCTCTTCCCATGAACTAAACATTTCATTTCTTGAATATTTGCATAAATTAGTCCCAAAGAAAAAAAAAAGAATTGGAAAATTTAAAGTTAATGAATAACACTGCACGAATCTCAAATGCTTGCCAATTCACGAAGTTGACCACCAATATACATGTACATACTGCGGGACTGTCCATGCGAATTTGAATGCTTTTTACATGTTTTTCCAAATTGTGTTTTTCCAAATTGAATGCTGACCCTTCATTTTGAATAACGTGATTGTGTAATGGCATGCTCTTATGATGAAATTGACTGATCGGTTGTGCTCTTTGAATGGTGATCTAGATAGTCAATCTATTTTGTGCTAATTTGAATGAAACTGTCGCTGTGTGGAGATGAGGAATTCAGCCGGGAAAACCTACACGTACAGTATATTTGTCTTTTATGAAAAAGTGCACATGTACATCCCCTCCCGCATCGTAGTTGTGGGGACATACATGTACACTTGACATTTCACCTATTTTGTGGGGACCGAAAACGTTGTGGGGACTCAGAAATATCCCCACAACTCGGTTCAAATTTCCTTAACAAAAGAACTTGTCCCCTTAACGCGGTGAATGCCTACCCATAGGTGTACAATGTACATGTACACTGTTCTAGTACATATGTCAGTTTACATTTATAAAAAAGGATAATGTATTACCATTTATAAAAAAGGATAATGTATTACATGCATCATGATATTGGTGCCATTGGCAGTGTGAATATAACAATGTTTTTTCCAGAAAAAAACAAAGCAGAACAAAACAAAAACCCCATCATGGTACAACCAAGAGCCATGGCATACTTACATGTACCGGTACATGTAAGTGTTACATTTCGTGCTCTGCCATATTCTGATGTGTCAAATTAATTTCTTTGCCCCGGGGCTTTTTACCACAGATATAAAAATAAATTGCTTGCCAAATGATGTGTGCACACTCAAAACTTGTGCAAATGAGATTGTACCGATGCATTACGAGATGCGAACATGGATAATTTCAGGGTGCCTCAAAAGGACAGGTAGGAATCAGCTGATTACCTCTGGTAGTCTCTTTGAGATTCTTCTTACCGGATCGCAGATTTTTTTTGGACTTTCAAGGAGCAGTCACAATAAAGCACATACATGTACGTGTATGTCTTCTGATATCAAGGGAAAAATGCATACATTTGCACTATGAATAAAAATTACTCTGAGAATGTCAAAACCATTCTTTCATGATAAGTAGAAGCTGCTTGTTTGTAGGTTCAAATATACGCATGCACATTGCACATCCATGTACAGGCATGATGGCTAATGTCACATGCATTTCATGTGTCATGGCAAAAATCACAATACAAATACAAGGAGCACTTCATCCAGTGATTTTAAGAGGCACTGGTTTCTTCACATAAATATGCCGAATATCTGTATATCCAAAATATTCTATTATCGAATATTCAAATATTATTTTCCAAATTTTAATATTCGAATACAAACTTCATGAAGAGGAAGGGAGAATTTTCTTCTGTTTTGCACTATAGAGGCTTGTTTCAAGCAGATTCATATGAAAAAAGACAGAAATTTTACAACTCCTCAAAAGTGAATTATTCATTAAAAAGTTAAAAAGGAATAGAAATTTTCAAGAGGGCAAGAAGTATTGTTTGTCTCTTAAATCTTGCTAAATCGTGGCTGGAGATACTCTTAGATGTGAGAAGCTAATGTACAGTTGTGTGTGTAATTGCAATTTGTTCTGTACCAGTATATGGTTTAATCAACAATCCACCGGTTTGTAAACCGAATATTCAGATATTTGATCAAATTGAAGGTCGGATATAAGACTTCATGGAATGGTTATATCACTTGTACATGTGTACATGTACATTAAAAAATGCTTGTATGAATACAACATGTACAGCGTATGATTGTACATGTCCACGTACAGGCGCATCACATCAGTGATATCAAAGATTTGACTGATTACAAGCAATGCACTGTTTCAAACAATTTCTGTTTCTTTTGTGCATACATGTATACATATAGGGTGTCATACCTTTGGGTGGGGCTCTTGTGGCTCCTACTACTGATCCTATCAAGATGTGGGCGATACGCATTGACCATGATGAGGTTCAGGTAAGTCAACTGTGGTCTCAGCATAACAGTAGTGGGTGTTTATGTTGTGCATAAATCTTAGCAACTAGCTTGTGGTGCTTTGGAAAGATGATATGTTGTTTCATGTAATTGAAGGTTGATTCAGTTAAGTTTTGGGCATGTCTTTTTAAAAATGTTGCATGTGACTTACGGTACTTGTCATGCAAACATACAGAAATTGTGGGGAATATTGTTCCAAACACATTGCTTTAAACATAAACTGAAAAAAACCCAAGCCTGAGCTACTCCAGTTTTGTTCTTTATTTTAGAGTGGAATTCTGCCAAGGTTTAAATGTACATGTATACATGTTAATACCATGTTTATACTCATTGCACTGACAAATTTTACATTCAAAGCCTACATGTACATGTCAATGATGTAGTTGGAATGTGACACACTTTACATGTACACACACACCCACAGGTTGTCTGGAATAAGAGGAAAAGTGTGGACCAGAATATTACTGGATGAAGTGTTTGTTGATTGTGATTATAGTTTTTGAATAACTTCAAAATTAATTTGTTATTTGTCCTACTACAGATTCCCTGCTCACACATTGTAACAAGTTTCTGTCTTTTTAGTTTTAATCAGCTTAATCTTATTTGATAAGCTTTGCAATTGCTTGCAATGCCTTTTGGGTTAACAAAAAAGACTACCGGGCCCGAGTGCATGCACATATGTACATGTATATTCCCACTAAACATTCCTTGCTTGCACAAATAGAAAAGGCTGTGAATATTTTAAACCTGATAACCTTGATATTGTTACCCATGCATGATGTCATATTTTGTATTCAAGTACATGTACAAAAGTTACACAAAAACCCACCTGCATCCTGTCAGATGAAGTGTACATTATCCATGGTTCACATTCAGTGATCCGTACAATGCTTGGTTTTACTGATTATTTTTTTTTTCAAATCAATGTATATGCACTTGTGGGTTATGAGCACAATGAAAAACTGCATTGTACGTGTACTTTTATATAGGTACGTGTACATTTGTACTGGTACATGTGTAGGTTACATGTATGAGAAATGCAGTTGGAGTTGGAAATGAAATACCCAAGTTGCCACGATGCATCTATGTGCTTGTTTAAGTTTCTTGAATTTTCCCCCCAGGGGTCAATTTTCATCGCTACAGACTCAGAGAACGAGAGGGAGAAATGGATGGAGGTGATGAGAAAGTCGAGTCGGGTGTAAGAAACATTTTGGAATCGTAGAATTTTGGGTGAAGTACATGGACGTGGTTAAACCTGTCCCTTCAGTATAAGATTTATGTATGGGGTAGGATGTTGCACACCATTCTTCAGCAAATTCTAGAATTGTCCCAAACAGTGTATACCCTCGGAAGGATTTGGAAAGGACACACAACTTTTTTATATTCAATTTTTGATTTATTATTTCCTGAATGTTGATTGTTATAAATCCATCCATACATGTAGGTTTGGGAAGATTCCCTGTAACCAAGGATGTTACCTGTAAAATGTCAAGGTTGTGATATTGGTTTTCTGCACAATGGAGGATTTTTGAGGATTTAGGAAGGTTTCTTGCAACATGCTGAGGGAGATCAGAGTTAAATCAAGCTAGCAGTTTCTATCATGCATTAATCATTCATTCTTCATATGGGATATAAATAAGTTCAAATCAGGATAGATATTCATGGTACTAGCTGACAAGTAATACCTCAAACTTAATCTAAGTGTACATATTGCAGCCTGGCAAGGTTTATGCAGTGTTAAATACAATTTGTTTTGCAAATTGGTGAAGGTTATAGCCAAAGTTTGTAGCAATACATATTTGCCTTTTGGTGGCAGTGACTTACAGCTAGAATCCCGACTTTGCACTCTTTGATTTATTAAATTATGAGGCACTGAACAATTACACCACTACATTTTAACCTTTTTGTGTGTGTGGCCAAATCAGAGTAATAATGAAATTTGTACAACAGCTGGAGACTGACGGCTGTCAGCTGGAAGATTGTTTTCTTTTGGAGATGGGGAGGGATTGGGTAGAGGAGAAACTTTTACACTGCTCTGTAAACCCATAAATGCTGCAGTGATGCTAAACGGCCAACGGTTGATTGTTCAACAGCACATGGAGGAATGCAGAACTTGGAGAAACTATGATACAGACATTAGAACAGCAGAGTCTAGAGTTGGCTCGAGACAGCCAAAGGTACCGAGAACAGTGGCATCTAGAGGCCATGGCTCTACGGGACGAGATGGATAAAAACGAGGTAAGACCATAGAAACTATCGTGTCATTCATGTACAATGTATGTGCCTATCTGCAATGTATATGCCCCATAGGGACTACCTTACACTACACAGTTGGCAGACACTCGTTTGATCTGATCCAGTCCTGGCTTCATACAGGATATCCAAGTGAGTGTTGACTTAATTGCAGAAGATGAGTACAGACCCTCTCAAATGATCTTGCTTAGCTTACATATACGAAACTGAAATACATACATGTGTATGTAACATGCTCAAATTATGCACAGTCATTATATCATATGAAATTTCCGTGCGGGTACTGCCTTGATGTCGACAGCCCATTGCATCCTCACTGGTCTAAGTAATTCCAAAGATCCGTTGTGACAAGCCAGCAAATTTTTGGAAAGGATGATAGCCTGTTTTCATTCCAGGACTGAGGAAAGCACAGAGAAAATGTTATTGACATGCAACAGATCAACTGAATTGGATAGATATGGAAGTTAATCACTTGAGCTAAAATGAACATCACTTTTAGGGTTGGATGAGAAGTATAACTCTTGTTTCAAGGGCTGTTGTGTTGCCTTATAGGCATCCTTAGTCATTGTCCATCTCCTCCTAAATGGATAATTTCCTGTGAGTCTATAGCCACTTCCTCTACTTATCTTTCACTGAAGCTTGTTTAAACCTACCGGTAAGGCACGATTATTGTGTTATTTGTTATGTTAAAAGAAGGATCAATGATATCGGATGTACATCATACATGTAGACTAGTGAGAATACCAACCTAAAGTAGAGTACATGTACAATGTACACTGTATTTTTATTCATTCACTGGACAAATCCAACTGTTTTTATTTAACAATCTCTTACAATGGAAAATCTAAGGAGGCATTATTGTCTTTGTACTACAGGTACATGTAACTTTCTCTTTCTATTTTTCACTTGAGTGTTGTTATTTCCTTGTCCTATACAGTGAGTGAGCATCATACATGTATGTACCGCTATTCACATTGAAAAGAGAACACGTCACTTTAGAGTTTCTGTATGAATCTGAAAATAGAAAATGAAACTCTAAGCTCTGAACTACCAACTACATGTATATGAAAGTCATGGAATGCAAACTTTGGTACGTGAAGATCAGGTATAAAAGATGTGGGCCTCGGGTTTTCCCGCAAGTTTTAAAGAGTACTGGTTTGATTTGTGACATTGACACATATGGCTAATTGATGGAAGAACCTATTAATTCCTGGCAAGGATGACCTTGATTTGATTTCAAAGTGTGTCAGATTATGGGAATATTGATAAGTCATGATACTCCGTGAGTATGTGAGTTTGTTTCTGCATTCAACTGGGGACTCTGAACAATAGCGGACAATAAGGTCCCCGATTGACAGAGGGTCCCCGATTGACAACTGTGTACAAAACATATGGGTGGTCTTCTAAAAAAGTACAAATAGAAAAGTACAAACAAAAGAGGAACAATAGGGGGTCCTTGGTTGCAGGCAAATACACACTTGTGTGTACATGTACGTGTATGCGAATGCCTTGTAATGACAGTTCTTTTTCTCTTTGTTAAGGATCTTGAAAGATTGACCTCAGAGTTGGAAGAGGAGAAGAGAAAGATTGAAGAAACGGCCAGAGAATTACTGGAGGAACATGAACGGACTAAAATGTGAGATTGGTAGTTATTGTGTTCCATGAGGGTGATGGACTTGCTTTGGGGGTTGTAAATTCAAAATGAAACCTACATGTAGCTTCAATTCCAAATCTGCCAAAATTCAACAACGCTGTTTAGCCAGTTTCATGAGCCAAACAAAAATCAGTTGGGGACCAGTGGCAAGGGACATACACATGTAGAGTGTTTGCCTAGATGGCTGGTAATCTACATTTTGCTAAGCAGATATTTTGGCTAACATACATGTAGATGTCTGATCTGAATTGCTTGAAACTTGAAATTTTGCAAGAGCCTGATACTGGCCTTAGCCAGTTCCCATAGAGATGCATATCATTTCAAGCCACAACAAATTGAATCAGACTTGGTCTTTCTTTGCTTAGTGTATCTGTGAAATTTTCCCTTTTCTTACATCATTTGACAACAGTATTGAGAAATTTTCATGGGACTTATATGCAACATGCAATAGTACATGTATGTTCTAAGATTACAACAGGTGTATTATTTTCAGACTGTTGTGTTTTGGTTGGCAGCTCGTTATGAAAGGTTCCCCAGCAAGTTAAAGAATCTTGAAAATGGAGAAACGTACCCTATGAATATCACAATGTGACCTCTCTCTGCCCTACTTCCTTTCCTGACTTGTTACAGTGCAGCATCAAAATGAGTAATTTATGTACAAGTACAGGCATGCAGCTTTTCCTTTGAACAGCTGATTTCCTTGTTTTTTTTTTACTGCTAATGTACATGTATGTTGTTACAAATTGAAAGACACAGCACAGAAGTCTTACTCAGTTGGCAATTTCCTCCTTTCCCTAACTTGTCAGTTGGGAAGCCCATGTGCATCTCATACAGAAACTGAACTAGCTGGCTTTACGTAACCCTGTACAGAAGCAGTTTCATTTCTGTTCTGAAAAGTTTGAGCACTTTGGCCTGAGTAATGACCGTAAAGATGGCGTCTTGAGTACACCCACCAATCAAGCGCTGCCCCATTCAATTTTAGCCCAAAACAGTATAATGTGACAGAATTCCGACATGCATGTGTCAACCCAGAGTGTGTACATGTATGTCTTGAGTGTGCAGCTTCATCAGAGGGCACATTTCAGAATTTCCACTGCCTTCTCAGATCTAAGATGGTACACTTCACCATTTTGAGTGATCACCCTCAGCCTGAGGCAATAATGCCATCTAGCACTACCAAGAAATTCTGACTGCCGTAGGAGGTCACACAATACAAGATTGGCAGTAGTGGATTATGGGTAAAGTTCATCAGAGTACATGGCCATCCTGATCAAATTTATTTTAGATCCTGTCAGCATGGTCAGCAACACGTTTGCCGTGCAAGTTGTGATTTTTGTTGGTCACCTTGTCTTCACGAGCATCTGCTGGAAAATCCATTCATTGTTATCAATGAGTTGAGTACATAGGGCCTAACTGATCAGTTTGTTGTCTGGTTACACGTATGTATTAATGATGCAATGACTTAATAACTTCTGAAGATGCTCATCATAATCTGTTGCAGGGAATTGGAGGAAACCACGGCAGCAATGCAGCAAGTTGCTAAGGACCAGGAGCATCTGACTAGAGCATCCTTTGACTTCCAATCTGACCTAGAGGTACAGACACAATTAATTGAATGATGAGCACTTTCAAACTCTAGTCATTATTTGGTATTTATAAATACCTCAGACAGCCTCCCCTATTCAACAACGCACAACTTGACTGTGTATTAACATTTGATAATGCCCGCTGAGAATTGATAATGCCCACTGTGTAAATCACACGCTGACACCTGGATACGAGACAGTTGATACAGTGATACGTCAAGGAACTGTTTGCATGTGGCTTGTTCCAAGTCCATATAAGGAGATTCATTTGGACAACATATAAAAGGATATACTATGAAATGACGGGTTGTTTTGGAAAAGTGAAAGTAAAATTCTTGAACAAAATCATTGGAAATCTATTATATGTTTACTTCTGACTCTGTGACTTAATCCCGACCTCAGTGATATGCAAAATATTCTACTGAAATTAGAGGATTCTTGAATTGCATGTTCTACTTAACGAGCTCACAGTACAACAAAATACTACTGAAATTACTTTAAAAAAGCTACTTGAAAATGTCAATACAATGGCAAAGACTTTACTGAACACCAGGACATAAAAAATATAACGAGATAAAAACCAATTAAAACTGTTATGGCTTGTGCATGGTGGACTGTGTGTCGTAATGTATCATTAGCCTGAGAAAGTCTTTAGAAGAATTGAAAGAGGAAAGAAAAATGTTTAGAGTAGCAGCTGATTCAAATGAGAACAAGAGATTGATGTCCATTTTTTGGTAAGATTGAAAGTCTCTGTGGTGGACCCTCCTAAACGTTTTAGGCAATTTGCAGTGTCTATCTTCAAGGAAACACATGAGAGAATACAGAATTGTCATGAAGTCATCACAAGTCATCTTCCACTTAAGTCATTCACTTGTCAGTTACAAGTCATCCTAAATCATATGAAGCCATAACATGTCATCACTTGTTAGACATTAGTCACTCTGCATGAAGTCATAAGTTTTTGCAATCAATTATGACAGAGATCTTCCTGACAGTTCCGTGACATTGTTATTCCTTGTTACTTTGTAAACTTGTAAACTGATTGGGGACTTGTCTGCTGATTTGGCATGTGATTGATGTGTGATTGACTCGTTACAAAACTCTCCAACATATTTCTCTGTATTAGCTCTTTCGAGGGGTAATATTTCCTCTAAGAAGAAATAATTTAGATGTTTTCACAAACGCTCCTCACGTCTCCAACATTTTGCAGAGATAAAGAATGTTGAAAATGAGTGAGTTAACACACACTTTCCACGAAAACCTTTTGTGGAGAAAACCTTTTGTGGAGCAAACCTTCTGATTCTAGTCTTTTTTCATGTTGCCACAAAAACAAAATTTAAAGATGCATGATCGTCACAATTCATGGCAACGCACACTCACAGGATTTACTTCATTGCTGAACTTTATTTAAGCTCAGATTTTATTTTTGCAGACCTGTCCTCCTGTAACAACTGCTGTCTTTCTCTAAACAGAGTCATGTTTGTATTCCCACTTGTTAGATTCTCACTATTTTTGGACCATCAGGGAAAATCATCAAGGAAAAGGCCTGTTAAAACACTTGACATGTTTTGGCATCACAAATTATGGGTGGTAAAATAGCAAGTCCAGAAGGAATAAACATAGCGTGTAGGATACAGATACATGTATAACTTACTCGGGCATTTCCGAAGTAAGAAGGCAGTGACTGTTTATGGATATAGATCAAGGACTGCTAAATCTAGTTGATTGCTTATCTCAAGATTTGTGACCTTGAAGACAACTTACTTTTCTATATTTGTAAATATTTCAACACAGAACTCAATGTAGAAATTACATTTTGTCAGTTCTAGTTAAAATGATGCTGGATTTGCTTGCATGACCTTGAGCTTACACTTAATATGTCAACCATATTCACCTGCCCAGTTGTTTTAATTTTAAAAATTCAACTGCAGACATGCTTGAGCAATCGGGATAGGAAAGGCCTGGATAATGAGAGATATAATGGGATAGAAATAAAATATTGTCGCGTTCCCCCAACATTGGGATTAATTAAAACTGGGGTCAACACTTAAAATCATGGCAAGGAAGCAGGACTTTCGGGTGACAGTAAGACTCTGGTTTATCCATAACTTCTTCCTTCAATTATGCACAGTGGAATAAGTAGCAAGGGTGGCATCCGTTGATTCATGGTAGCCTACAGCATTGCAGCTAAGGTTTAAAAGTATCCGACTATTTACTACCAGTCAAGGCACACATGCAAAGTTTAACAACTGACCACGGGGTGGAAGTTCTGTCAGACAGGCTAACTGTAGCGGGAGTGGGCCGTTAAGGCTCTGCCAGCCACACAGCTATGTGTGCCGGACAAGCAAAGGGCTATTACCTCAAACCACACAACACTGTTGCCCATAACATGTATCGGAGCACACAACAATTCGTGGTCAGTGTCGCACAACAACGAGTGGTCAGGCCAGGGAGCAAGACAGCAAGAGTTAAGAAATTCTCACCTTTTATAGAGAATCTGGGCTTCTCGTATCATGAATATACATGTAACTCTTTAGAGGAAAAACCAATGAGGACTACCCTGCCGCTGTTTCTAAGCAGAGTGTGTGCAAATACAGCATACGTTATCCTAAATGACACAACGCTTGTGCAGATCATGTGCAAGCAGGCTGGCAGTGGTGCATGACAAAAGTGTCTCCCACCCATGTAGCAGGAGGGCGGAGCAAGAGCAGAGCGGCGACATGCAGGGCAGGTCAATCATTCTATGCATACTCATGTATGGTCGCAAGGGTCCAATGTGGTGCACAACTCTGGCCATCATGCAGCAAGACAGTGCGTGAGATAAGACCCAACTGCATTCAATAGCTTTATACACCACAATGCTATAGTGATGAAGAAATTCTTAGGCATAAGTCCAACATAGAATGAATAACAGTAATTCAGAGATACGGACAATATGAAACAAAATGTGTAGGAACTAAAGGGGGAAAAAGTCAAAGAAAAGTCACTAAAAACCATATGTTGATTGCTAATTGATTGAAGTACAGTTGATTCACAGTATAGTGTGCCACCCAAGAGGTTGACACAGAGAGGCCAGTTTTGGTAGTGCATTGTGAGAAATGGTCGACAAATTTTATTTGCCATTTGTGTTTTCAAATTGCTCCTGTTGTTTGTTTGGGTATAAGATTCGTAGGCATATTTTGAGTATCAACTTTAATCAAGAAGTTTTATTTTCAGGAGGCAGAATGCTTCTCCCACAATTCAAAACTATAAACTCAAAAATATCCACAATAATGCCCTGCTTTTGTCGACTGTACACTAGAAAAAATGGCATCGCCATGGCAACCTCTTAGTTGTATGCTGTGAATTAATGTCCGTATTGCCCTGCAAACCCAAAACGGCATGGTGATGACATAATTGAGGGTGAGATCCTTTTCCCACTTGAAGAGAATTTTTGCTAGGTAACAAAAAGCACTAAACACAGCACTTGTCAAAAATGGATCAAGAGTCAAAAGTGTTTTGCTTGGATACATGTAATATAAATTTAGTACTTATTCCAAATCACTTGTTTAGTTTTAGTATGCAAAAACAGGTTTTAAGAGATTTTTTTTTTGAGTTCTCAATCTGCTCAGTATACCGTACGTGTATGTTATACATGTAGATGTTAGTGCAAGGAGAAATCAAAAAGGTCAGATTGTATGCTTCATCATTGGTTCCTTCCTGCCTCATGTCATATACTTCATGGGATACCATTAATCCCATGCTAGTTTTCCGAAATGTCAACCCCTCCGAGTTTCCAGCACTTTCAAGTAGATTTGAAACCTGTCAGATGAATCTTGCTGGTGGGGTTTACATACATGTAGAGTAGTTTTTCTCCATTTATGTGGGATACAAGTATTTTGTGAAACCATTAGACAAAGATTAGAGGAATGCCTCAGGATACTGTTTGTAAATTGCAAGCAATACCTTAATCCACTGAGAGTTACAGAAGACTATTATTCTACATGTAAAGGTTGTTTGTCTCCCTGTAATGCCTACAAATTTAAGACTGTCCATTAAAGCTGTGGTCATGTCTTCAGACTCAAACAGAAATCAGAACATTAAGGAGGACATTAGTGGGGACATGTAAAATTGCAGTGGCTGGGTTTTTACAGTCCCACGTTTATCAATGTCATGCTCAGCATCAGTGGGGACATCCAGTGTTATGAAAAGTTTAAGTCCTGCCTCACTCTCAAGGAAACCCGGAACATGAGGGGTATCAGTGTATCAGTGAGGACATCAAGCATCATGTTAAGTCAAAGTGGCTGGGCTAGAGTGTCCAGCATTCATTGAAATACCGGTACACTTAATCACAAACCGTGCTGGATTGGTCAGTTGGGGTGAATCTGTCCTACAATGGTTGATTTGATTTCCCTTTTTTTCCTGAAAAAGAGGCATGAGTCACATTGAAGAGATTAACTGATGTCCTTTCACACTGACAACAGGAAGACAAGTTTCATTTTTTTTGGTGACACATTTTGTAGAGTCTTACTCTGAGTGGCTGAAATGATGTCTCCGGCTAGGTTCAAGCTTGAACCAAAACACATCAAATATCATTAGCAAGCTTTCTTGAATGCTGTGCCCTGTCGGCCGTATTCTGAACAGTTCTTGAATTTTTACAGAGCTCCTCTTTGATTTGGAAAGAATCATCATACCTGGTAAAATTACAGACATAAGATATCTTGGAATGGTCTTGAATACTTTGACAGACATTTGTTCACTTGTATATGGTCTCTGGCTTGGGAACAATTGCAAATGGGATAATTTCCTCAGCTTCCCTGCCTCTGTAATTGCTGATATTTTGTATCTGCAGGTGTTGGCGGCGGAGCGTGAGAGAGCCCTCACTGAGCTCAAGAAACGGGAAGACACCATGCAGAATCTAACCAGTGCAAACCAGTCACTGTCATCAGAGACTGCTTCCCTGAAGAACAACCTCAAGAAGATTGAAGATAAAACGAGCGAACTGCAAAGGGAACTCTATCAAATTAATGAGAGGTGAAAAACATCTTCCACCCACTCAATTGTTATTTACCTTAGTTTAAGGTAGTGTCAACCTGGTGTAGGGATTTGAGAAGGCTGAAGTCCCCTCTCTCAGTAAATTATCTCCTCCCCTCCCAACCTTATTCATACGTCTTCAAAAAAGTTATTTAGAACCTGCCAAAGATCAAGAATTTCAGCTAATTCGCAAGGGGTTGTTTTCCCATCATTTTCATGAATGCACTCAACATATTTCTGACTTTGTGTCTCTCAAAAGAGAATGCTTGGAAATGATGATGGCCAGTGGTCATATTTTACAATTTTTGAAAAGTGCATAGAGGCTGTTAACCCCTTCCCCCAGCATACATTTTCTCCGCTGGTGGAAATAAAGAAAAAAATGGATGAACTAAGGCAAGCTTGGAGACGCACCTTGAATTATCAGTCTCGGTCCCTAATCATGTTTTGAGATTGACCATTGTGTAGTGAAGAGGAATACTTCTTGTATCATATAGATTTTGAAGTGTCTCGAATGCTCCTGGCCTGTATGTTTATCACCTTGTAAATCACACAGATTGCTAGACAAAGAAAAAGAAGCAGCTGTCTTGGCCGAGGAGAAGAAATCATTCAGTATACAAGCGCAAGAGTTAGAGTCATCGTTACATGTAAGTCTGCTTAGTCGTTGCTGCCAGATATCAGGTTATGCTTAACTGCTGTAGGGATTTAGTGGTGTAAATCGAGGACTTTGGGCTCTGTGTTGGGGAAGTTAGATGCTCTTGGATGTGTTTACTGTTTACAGTGTCTGTGAATTGATTATGTGTTCTGACCAATAGAAAAATTGCACACCAAGAATGAAGGCTATTATTGAAAAAAAAAAAAACAGTTTCTGTATAACAGCAATTCATTCTGTTACAGTTAATAATGCTGTTGACAGTTATAGTGTGCTTTTAGCTTTGCAAACAAGGAAAAAATGAATAGTTTTTGGCTAGTTGTAGGTGCCCATGTTTGGCCTTCAGCGTTGTATAATGCAGCGCCCTCTACTGTCACTTCACAAAGCAGATAACTAAATTTTTGATACGGTCATTTTTTCCTTGTTTTATATATGCATGCAGGACCTGACCGTTCAAAAGGAGTTGACAGAATCAGAACTGCGGGAAGAAATCATCGCTCGTCACGAAGCCGAGAGACGGCTTAAGAAAGCAGAGGATTCCCTGGCCAGATTAGATGCAGCGCTGAAGGAGAGCAGACCTGAGCCCGTCACCAAACGAGAGACAGAGCTGGATGTGGAAATCTTCACAAACGTTGCTCATCTCAAAAGTAAGATTTGTTTTAGTTTTTCATGTCATGTAGAACATAATAATGAAAATTATGCACTGCTGTCAACATGCTATGATGGGGTTACTGTGGGTCTGTTTTTTATTCCACTCCACATGTGTCTTTGGTTTGATTTCAGGGGGTAACTCATTTTTACCTATGCAGCTTCTTCTTTTTGTTTGCTTCATTTTTTCAAATCTTTACTCCTTGAATTTATTTTGTGGTCATAATTCTCTGCATGTATTTTTGTCATATTCCATACATGGCATTATGGAAATAAATGTTGTTGAACTGAATTGAATGGAATTAAATTGAATTGTGGATTGAGTTTTCTGTTACTGAAGTTGGAATGTGGTTGTCCAGTGACCAATCTCCTAACTGCATAATGAGGTTGTGCTAGCCATAGCAGAAAAATTCTGCCACTCATAAGTGTCTTTTACTAAGTGGACACGGTAATCCTTACACATATATCAGCCTTATTGAAACTTTTTGGACACAATAGGAGGGCGCTATTTGAAGTGGGTAAATTTAGAGTAAACACAAAAGATGTTACCTAAACCAAATTGCACCCACCTATCGTGTTTGCCATACATGTGTATGTCAGATAGACTAATGGAGATAACTATTGTTACAAAACTGCTGTAAAAAATTGTTTTGCCTCTGAAGTGAGTTGTTCTTTGCTTGATTATGTCAGTCTGTCTGAAAAAGGATGAAGGCTTTGCCAGCACATTGTGCTTAACAACCTCATGAAATTTTGCCATGGCTTTCCAGCTTTCACTACTGAATTTTTCTTTGTCTCCTCTCATTTACATAGAGAAAGTTAAGCATTATTTAAAAAACTTGTTTCTGTTTTTAATTCTGTTTGACAGAATTCTTTGAGGACATTGCTATGGAGGCCAAGCTAGATGCCAACAAGCCAATTATTATGAAGAACGCCCTTCACGCCCGCAAGTCGTTTGTCCGAAAGACCAAAAGCTTCAAGTTCCGGAAAGATCGTGACAAGAGTATTGCCCGCCACAGTAAGTTCACCTCTGCATTTCCCAATTGACAAGAAAATGAAGGAATTTTTTGCTATCTTTGCATTAAATCTGGCTGAGAGCAGAATACTTTCTTTTGCTTAAGGATTCAATTTTCTGAATTGGCTTTTAATTTAGCAAAATAAATGAGACATGAAAACAATTGCATTTTGGAAGTGCACATTAATAGGGAATATTCTTGGACTGAGTCATGCTGAAAAATTGTCAGACAAGTTTGATGACATCTTTGGACAAGACTTCATTTTGGTGCCAAATCCTACTGAAATTGAGGTTGAATCTGGGCTGAAATTCTACTAAAGAATGAAAATTGCAAATTGTACAGCTTAATGCCCTGAGTGAAACCAAACTAAGTCCTAACAGAGGTTAAAAAACATTCCAAGACCATTTTTAACCAAAACCAGGCTGGTGCTATGGTGGGAACCTTTTATTTCCCAAACAAATTGCACCTCTCAAAGTTTACTTCTTTTGCTATGTACCTTGTATATCATCATGGTCAGCATCTTGTCACTAGACTCTAAATTCAGAATTATGCATCACCAGAAATAGTAAATTGTGCACCAGACAATTTCATGCAAAGATACTGATTGGTCACTTCATCAGCTGTCGTCCAATCACAGACGAAGAATATTCTCTGTTGGCTTTCTGAGAAAGACCTTGTGCTTTGGCTGCATTTTTCGAATTCTATCTCTGTTGCTTGGCTGTGGCTCTCCGCTTTTGCCAGTCTTTTCTCTTTTTTTTGAGGACAAAACCACTCAGTAATTTGTTTAAACATGCATTTTCATGCAGATCAAATAATCAATTCATCTGAATATCATACTGTAAATTTAAAAGTACCATTTCTCGTACACTTGTGTATTTCTTCTATTCATGTGCAATATCATTTCACTATGCACATGTGGTGTTTTAGAAGTGTTTTTGAAATACCACATCATGGAATCTGAATATTTGTAGCATGTTTAATGGGAATTGCAAAGATCATTGTATGTACATATGTAGGATAACACACTGAAGCTGCCAAGCTGCTGCTAGCAGAATACTGGAGAGAAATTTATAAGAGTCATGTAGACCACTGGCTCTGTAGTTGTTATTTTTCTGTTTGTGCTGTAAAGCCGGGTTTCCATATGGTCGGGGGTAACGCAGATAGTCCGCAAGACGTGAAGACGCAGACACAAATGGAAGAGACGGTGCGTGACATCATTCCACCCAAAAATTGAAACAAACTGGCATCTGAAACTCCACAATTTCTTGTGGAAAATCTGCTTTTAGATTGACAGGACTGCCTCATGGTGCCAAAACTCTACTCCAGTTTCATGTATTTCATTGATGGTCAGCCAGTTACATGTAGTTGATCACTGGGGTGTCATATTTAAGCATTGAGGAGGAAGTGGGCAAAATTCGTGGAACTAAGTGAGAGGACATAGTTGCGCGCCGGTCATGCCACCACGCGTGTTTGTATGAAGATACCACGGCTACTCAATGCAGACAGTCGGCAAAGTTGAACCTGGCTCAACTTTGTCGATCATTTGCAGGTTGGCTTGCGTTTGTCTGCGTTGTCGGTGACACCTCTGTTTGGTACGTTGCCATATGTCTGCGTTGCAGTTTGCGTCTTGATGGTGTTGCTCTCTGCGTTTCTCGCATCGATATGGAAATTGTTTTATGGAATTAAAATATGGATATGGAAGTTTTTTATCTCATGCAGACTGCTTGGTGCATGTGAAAGGGCCTGTTTGATTCACAGACAGATCTGGATCAGTGATCTGTCGTTGGTTCACTGACACCAGAACCCACCTAATAGATGGAGTGAACCAGCTTTTGGATTATTGATCAAGATCCAGATTCACATGATATAAACAGGTCCTTAGAGATGAAGCCTTACAAACAAAAGAGCGATATACCTAGCGTAGTGCTTGAAAGGAGAACATTACAACAGATTCAAGCAAAGTGGATGCTTATTATAAATGCCCTCAGCTAAAGTTGATAAGTCTGTAAAGCTGTTAATTGTTGCATTAGGCAGCTTAAGTTACAGCACAACACTTAACCGCCTTAGAGTTCATAATGGCTGTCTTCCTACATTTAGATTTGCTGAAGGCCAAACTCATATTGTTCAGTAAATTTATAATTTTTGTGGAAGAATATGAATATCTATAATCATGACTATATGTAGCAAATAAGTCAGCTTTCAGGTGATATATTTGCTAAAGGCTAACCTGTTATGATGTTTTATATTTTCAATACCCCATTGCATTCACCCTCCCCCCTTCCTTGCAAACTCTGCAACCTCCTCAAACCCAAACAGAACGTGGAAACAGTTTTGCCGAGATGAAAGACACCCCACATGAGAAACCATTCTCTGAGGAACTCATAAATACCAAACCAGTCGCTAGACCAGTCTACCACTGGCAACAATATCTGCCCAAGTTTTCCGACAAAACTGTGCAACATAGCTTCAGTGATAACCATAGCCATATACAAGTAGGTGAAAAGTCATCCCCTCAGAAAGCAGCCCACTGCCTTCCCCCGGTGTCCACTGTGGTTGGCACCGGTGCTATTCCTAAAGTGCAGATCACGGCTGCAGCCACTGCCAAGAGCAACTCCACGCAGGCAAGGAATTCTGGACGGTTACCATGGGCCAGGTCTACTGCCCTCTAGAGGAGGTAAAAGGTGCACTGTTGTACTATAACCATCTACGTGTTTGTCCACGTTGTGGTAATAACATGCATCTCATGAGTAGGTCTTGCTGTGTAGACCTCCCTCCCAGCATGCTCCTGTATCCCCACCCCTTTGCTGTACACCAGTGGCAGCCATATTGGATCTACATGAGCGACTCATGAAATATTGTGTGAAAGTCACAATATCTGCTATGGCTTGTCATTGGTATGAATTGCATGTACATGTATATTGCATGACAGCCGTACCTATTGTCTAATGTTACAGTAGTATCTGCCCCAAGCGGGAACAAACGAGGGCATATTTTTAAGTAAAATGTGCAGTCCTTTGGTACCAACTCACCACATACACTGTAGGTGCTCAAGTTTATGCATGTTTGATATGGAGCACACTAAGTACGTGCAACAAATTTATTCTGGAATGTATGGTCTTTGTGTGCACGCCAAAAGCATTCAAGAACCCAGTTTGAAAACTTCGTACCAGTCTGTCTTTCTTTTGCCAGCGAGGGTGCACTTCAACTCAGAGCGGATAGCGCTGTGTACATGGGCTCAGTGCTAATCATGAGCATAGACTGCAGTACGGTAGGTCACGTATGATCAGAGGGGTCAAACTCACCTTCCATTACAGATGGACTTGCATCAAATAACATTTGGTGATGCCCTTTGTATCTTTTTGTAAAGTTGTTGGCATATATGTTGTACTGTGTATTTTATCTTTTCTTTCCTGCACACTGGATATCGTTGGTAATGTTTTTCCTGCACCAAGTTTTAGGGCCATCCCCCACAAGTTATTCCATCTCAGATCAAAAGCTGTTACAATGTAGTTTGAATTGTGACCAAAAAAATCCTTTTTCTCTGTGCTGATCCTTGGTTACAATTGGGATTAGACTTGTGATATATTTAGTGCAAGGTATGGGACTAATGGACGTGATGAGCTCCGATACTGCTCACATCTAGTATTTCATTGGCTGTGTTTGCATATATTGTTTGCACAATATATGTGGGAGTAGGAATATGTTCACATTATTCTGGGATGGCATTGCATAAAGGGTCATAACTTTCGACCATCTTGAATTAGACAAGTTATGCTAGGGTACAATCAGGTCTGATTGAGAGTACACTCTGGCTTACCCAGAGGTCACATTCCTGCTAAGCACTGGGGAGTGTACTCTTATTAATATGAGTAAATACTGTAGCTCCCATGTAGCCTTAGAAATAATGACTATTAAAAAGAAAACAGGGCTTTTGTAATTATGAAAAGACAGTAAACAGGTGTTCTGAAGTCAAGTTCAGATCACATTTTTCTGGTGTGACACCTGTGTATTGGTACTGGCAGTATAGGTGGCCAAAGTTACCCTCAGTTTTACCCTTTTAATAATAGCTAAATATTTATAAAGCTTGAAGCTTGAAGCTTTATTGAGATCTTTGTTGGAGGCCCGAACTTGCAGTATCTTGAGTAATGGCTATGTCAAATTGTACATACAGTAGGCTCAACATAGGCACCTGCCCAAGTACACACAACTTCACCAAACTATGATTACCTGTGGAGGTCAACTACATGTACGTATTCGGACATCAATCATCAAGCCTTTTGGGGTTGTTTATTAGAGCAGTAAATGTATCATGTATGCATGTATCATGTAAATGTATCATGCATATGCAAGCAGGGTATTAAAGGTACCAGTACATGTAGACATGTACAACAACTCCCGCACCGTAGTTGTGGGGACATACACTCGACATTTCACCTATTTTGTGGGGACCAAAAATGTAGTGGGGACTCAGAAATGTCCCCACAACTCGATTCAAATTTCCCTAACAAAAAAACTTGTCCCCTGAATGCCTACCCTTTGTTACCTTGGAGCTAACAGACTTAAAGTGCACACTCATTGATGCTGGCAGACCATGGGCAGACACACATTGCCACACAGAGGCATGACATTCAAATGTCAGTCTAGCATCTATCTCCATCACTGTGCGGCTTCAGTGAGTCCATATGTAGAAACAGCTGTGCTTTCCTCTGCCAGCATTTTATTCCAGTGTTGCTGGTACTCATGGCTACTGACTGACCTTTGCAATTCACTTACTATTTTCAGTGAGTTTGCTTGGCAGTACATCTACATCTACAGGGAGCTCACTGGTAATGGGGGAGTCTGCTAATTATTTGACACAAGACTTAAAACAAAAGTTTGTTACATTAGCCAAGAGCAGATTTCCTGAGGGGAAAAGGAAAATCCTTGGTTTTCATTGGTTGAGTGAAATTTAAAACCCCTATTGCCAAGGACCCTGCATTAGTACAACTGTAAACCATAGAAGACTTCTTCTGCTGTGTGTGTTATAGAAAGAGGACAGTTTTTTCCCCCACTTGAAAGTAATATTTGCAAATCATCCATTTTGATAATTGCTCAGCAGAGTCTTGAAAGGGGCTTAAGCTGCTGTTGATATTACCGGCGCTTGCCATCATTGCTTAGCAACAATCCACATGGCTTGTGCAACAACCATTTCTGTGCTTAAGTAGAACCTGTCAAGTTTGTCAACCAAGTCAGTTCTTTTTCTCTTCAGATACAAGCGCTGAAGCACTCCGGGGTCGAGCGCGTCAAAATGCAGCAGCAAAACAGGGACTAGGTATGCATGGTTTACAAGTGACTAATGTTTGGAGAGGGGAATGAGAGAAAAAGGAAAGTCTCAGTAAAGGATTTATCCGACTCTACCCCAGTTGAAATACTGCCTTGACCAAGGCTTGTTTGCTTGTTTGATGAGCAAGCTCACTGCTACTTCCGAGGAGAAGACATTGTGTTTGGCTTTGCTCCCATGATGTAACACTATCCTATAGACTAACCACAGGCACTTACCTCTGAGGACAATATATCGACCTCTGAGGTCAGGGAATCACGCTGTGTTCTGTCCTCTTTAACCACCACTACTCCTGTATCTGCCTCTTGTACTTCTCCAAAGGCATGAGAGGATTACTTTGTTGACAACAGGAGTTGGTTAGACAGGTGTAGGCATTGACTGGAACATACCGATAGTGCACACTAATACCATTTCAAGTTCTCAACTTGGAACCGTAACGGTAGTAGGGAAGGCCTTCTCACTGTGTTTCTGTGGGTATGTGTGTACATGTATGTCTCTGTCTCTTCTATCATATTACACATCAAACCATGGCTTGCTGTTACAGGAGAGTTAACTTCAGTTTAATTGTGCAGTTTTGTTCTTAGAAAGTGTCACGGCCAACCTAATCTTAAAAAGATTTTGAAGCTGTAAGGATTAGTGCCAGCCGGGACAAATTCATTGGGCTGGCCACTTTGAAATTTCCCAGCCTACCATCCACCCAAATCCAACACCTAGATTTGCTGCAAACTTGAATCTGATATGAACAGCCTGGTATGGCCACTGTTAGCGTACATAGAGTTTGGCCTCCTGATTAGGTTTCAGCGCTGATTTGGGTTTCCATCACTTTTCATTAAAAATTGTTTGGTTGATTCAAGAAGCTTTAAATAGCAGCATCAAGCTGTATTGATGAATCAGCAACATTTCACTGGACATTTCCTATGCCCCCTTTAATGGCAGAAAGCAATGTTTTGTACGAAGTGAATTTCAGGGAACAGTGGCTCTGTACAATACATGCTTCCCACCATTGGCAGGGACCTGTGTAAAATGACCAGTGATAGTGTTACCATGGTCACCAGATTCTGTGATGGCTTTATCAATCTTTGTGACTGAATTTGTGTTAGAATCTCTCTCTTGTATTACAAAGAGTTCACTACTGTGACTTGTAATTTAACAGTATGTACATGTGTGTTTGACACAAACTTTAACCTTCCTGTTTGACACCCAAACCCTTACCCTCCACATCAAGCTCTGCCATGATTAAAACTTCATCTCTAACCCTCCAGTTCATTCATTTCAGAGGAGAATTCCTCTGTAGTATTGGGCATTTCAGTGGCATTTAGAAATGTTGTTGCAATATCAAGAGTGTTGTCATTTAATCTAATGTTTGTCTACGTGTATGCATCTAAGTTTTCTGCATGATTCATTGTCATTGCATCTTGTGTCTTTGGGGTTCGTGGTTGGTGTTTGGCTTTTCATCTCGATGTTGCTTCTCACACTAGTGGCAAGATAATTCATATTGTGAAAAAGACCAGAATCCAGTTTCATGATACTGTGAAATGCAGAATTTGCTGTCAGTAGCATTTTGATCCTATTTTTTGAAAGGAAAGCTTTTGAACATCCCAACTTTGTTACAATTTATTTCAAAAGTGTTGATTACAATCTTGAATGTCTGGTATTGGGCTGTGTTGGTATGCACATTCAAGTTTGCCCATTGAGTAACATTTTTTGTGTGTTCTTGTCTTGTCTGGTATGTTTGTAATATCAAACAAAGCTGTGCTGTTCATTTGCGAGCTTAACAATTTTCACACTTTCTTCTGTTTTGAGCATGAATGCTTTTTGTGGGTTGCCTTTAACTGCTGAATTGGTGCGTAAGATTAACTTCATGGTATTTTGGACAAAGAGAGAGATAAAAGCATGCAGTGGTAAGGGAGACGTTTTTCCTCACATTGCTTTTGCAGTTTTAAAGGTTGGATCATTCTTGAAAGTGAAGTTACTTTTGTACGTTACTGAAAGGTCTGTCGTCATTGTTCAATGACAATAAAACTACAACAGGGACAGTCAGAAATGTCCATGAAAACGTCTTGATCTGTAATGAACCTTTTTGGAAAAAAATTAGCTGTGCAGCTCCCCTTAATACTTCCAGAGACTTGTCAAAATGAATTTCGGATGCCAAGCCGAAATGCATTTGAGGTTTTGTTTTTAAATTAGGTGGAGACAAAATCAAAAATGGTAGCTATTCAAGTCTTAACCAAACCTTTTTGTCTGTTGCATCTGTTTGTCTCATTAAATTTGTTCAGAATTTTCAATTCGTAAAGCAAGTAGAATTTAAATCAACTTGTAATACATCAAACAGCTTATTTAGTTGTTTTGTATTTACTGTTAAAACTTGAGAAACTTTTAAATGCAATTTTTAATTTTCACCATAAAAAACTTACAAGGTTTTTTCGCTCTGTACATAAACCACATTTTTCTTGGTCATGTTGGGTTTTCTAATGCCGAGGTAAACTTTGCATTGCATGTATCTCCCTTGTTTTAATGTTGGGTAACTAACCTTTCATTCATGTTTTAAGAAACAGTTAATGTAATTTTCAACTTTAGGCTGAGTACCATCTCTTCCTTTCATTTTATCTCTCCACTTTTTTTTTCTGTAATGCTTTTTAGTTGTCTTCATCACTGATGAAGACTTCATTCAGGATATCAACAACATATCATTTTGGGAGGAGGAGTTCTGAATGAGAACCAATCTTAAACCGCCTGTTTTTCGTGAGCTTCTGCCAATTTGTGGTTGATAAATAAAAGCTGTTTAACCACTACCAGCCGGGGACTCCGAAATCGGAGCCGTATGGTTTATATGTGTGGCTGGGGTCTCCAAACTCGGACAAAGGAAACAGGGCCCTGTAACAAAAGACCATACTCCGAACAAAAGACCA